GAATACAGTGCTATATCTTTAGCTAGGGACAATTTTTAGGTGCTGCATAATATCATTGCACCTGCTGCAGCCATAGTACAGCAGCAGAGTTCCTTGATTGTTACTGCAGAATGAAAGTATAGTTCCAAGCCATATTTTTCATTTTCTGTTGGTCTTACAAACATTAGTACCAAAAGATTTAAAGTAAATCGGCACACTGCAACTTTAGCTCTCAAAAAAATTTTTTAATGTCAATATCACAACGTTTCGACCGACATGAAAACCCTGTCAGTCGAAACGTTGTGATATTGACATAAAAATTTTTTTTTGAGAGCTAAAGTGGCAGTGTGCCGATTTACTTTGAATCTTTTGCTACTAATGTTTGTTTTTTGATCGTGCACCTGCCTTCAAGATGTGCGCACATTTCGTTTTTTTGCTTAGTACACACATAACCTAGACTTAGTACAAAACATAACTACAAAATAGTTAAACTTCAAACAAAAAATTATCAAAACTCTTTTTTGAAATTAATCCAGATGCTAATGATCTAATCCGATTCAATGATTTATGCTAAACTAAGCTAAAACTGGAGACCTGGAGATCAGCTGAATGGATTCAAAAATGTTGAACCTCAAACATTCAACTCTAGAGAACTTGCACCTATTTACATTCTGTTCCTCTAAAGATATTGTGTTAATAACAGGATTGTCTTTGTTTTAACCTCATCAGATAAGGAATCAGAGGCCTTGAGGTCAAACAGTCTTCTTTGGGACAAAGAACGTTCACTGCTACAAGGCGTCCAGATTACCGTCAAAAGGGACAGGCTAACCATTCAAACTCCCGGAGTCTACTTCATCTATTCCCAAGTCACCTTTTCCAGACGGGCCACTAAAAATCCACTAAAGCAAACCATAAACCGATCAGGACCAAAAAATGAGAACAAGGAATTACTCAAGTCTTTCTGCACCTTGCATGAGAACACAGAAGAAATGTGTACGGCATCATCAGCAGGAGTGTTTAGACTGGAGAAAGACCAACAAGTCTATGTTACAGTAACAGACAGATCCCTGGTAAACAAGAAGTACTGCTGGTTTGGATTATTCAAGCTATAGTAATGAAGACTTTGGAACTGAATCAGTCACAGGGGAGATGGATGATACTGATATTCAGGGAATTGATTGGATTGAGGCACTATAATGACATGGATAATTAAACAGTCATGTATATGTGACGTCCAGATGAGAACAAACCCAAAGAAAGTCACCACATGAAGCTCCTGTTTTCCTGCATGCCAAACCACAATACAAATTTTGGATTAATGAATGTGGAAACGTCCTGGAATTTGCTTTCAATTATTTTGTTCGTTGCAAATACAACCTAATAGGATTTCATGAATGTTTTTAATCCACTCAGTGGCAGTGTTTGTATCAAACTATTTATTGCTTGTTTGGATTTGCTTTAGCAGTTTGTTCTTTTTTATATAATGATAATAATAATAAACTATTGAACTGAAAATAAAAAGTATTTATTCAGGCAAATGCTTGACAATTATATTTTCTTATAGATTATTAAATAATTTTTCTTTTTAAAACAGCAATGTAATGTATGTGTGTGTGCACAGAGAATTATATCAAACTGAAGAAAAATGATACAGATAGATAGATATACAGATAAATATTCTTACAACTGCTATAATTGCATGTATATGCATAGCTAAATACATATTTATTTTTAATATTTTATTTTAATAAGCTATCAGTGGCAGTGTATGTATGAAACTATTTATTGCTTAATTGGACTTTTTACAGCTTGTTCTTTTTTACATAATGATAATAATAATAATAAATTATTGAACTGAAAATAAAGGTATTTATTCAGGCATATGCTTGACATAATTAAATTTGATTATAGCTTATAAATTCATTTTTCTTTTTAAAACAGCAATGTAATGTATGTGCGGGCATGCATGGAAAATTATAACAAACTGAAGCATGTAAATAGACGGACAGACAGATAGATGGATGAACAGATGGATGGACAGGTAGACAGACAGACAGACAGACAGACAAATAGATAGACAGACAGATTGATAGATTGATGGATGGATGGAAAGACAAATAGCATATATAAATGGATGGATAGATAGACGGTATATATCAGGGATCACCAAACTTGTTCCTGGAGGTCCGGTGTCCTGCAGATTTTAGCTCCAACCCTAATCAAACACACCTGAACAAGCTAATCAAGGTCTTACAGGGTATACTCGAAACACTCAGGCAGGTGTGTTGAGGCAAGTTGGAGCTAAACCCTGCAGGGCACCGGAGCTCCAGGGCCGAAATTGGTGACCCCTGGTATAAATAAACAGACAGATATATGGGCAGACAGACAGACACAGATAGATGGATAGATAGTTTATGGGTAGACGGATGGATGGATAGATAGTTAAATGTATAGACAGATAGATGGTATATATGGATGCAGTGGTGGATTTCACCAATAAAAAATCAGGGGGCCTATAATAACTATCTAGAAGTATAAATTACATCTATAAACTATATGTAATGTTGTTTTCTATCATATTTTGTATGGTGCGAAACAAAATTATTAGATAATTTAATAATATTTTGTATCAAATAGAATGTAATATTATTATAATAATGTAATGTGATGTATTAATATTATGAATCTTATTGTTACATCTGTACAAATTCTAATAATAAATTCTAATAATGTCCTAATAATGAAGCAGCCCAGCGGTCAAATTTATATATTTAAAAAACATGTATTATTTTTAGTTGTGAATTCATTTCATGAAAACTAATCATTTAAAATGTAGATATTGCATTAAGATAAAATGTAGAATAGAAGTTTGAGTGATTTAAAAAAAATAAAAGGTAAATAAATAAAAATGAAATAAAAGTAGCATTTTAGGACTGTTGGGCCTCATGGCTGGAATTGCTTAGGGCAGATATGGACAGATGGACAGATGGACAGCAAGATAGATATAGATAGATAAACAGACAGACAGACAGACAGACAGATAGATATTCTTATAATTGCTATAATTACATGCATATGCATACCTAAATACATATTTTTATATGTATATTTTTATTTTATTAATCAGTCTACCTATCCATCTATACAAACACAATGTATTATTATAATTGCTATAAATACATACACATTATTCTTAAAAGTTTTCATTTTTATAACCTGTCAATACAGTAAGCACCAAACAAGACACAAAACCAACTATTGGGTTAATTATTATCATCAACATTTCCAACATGTTCTGATCTGCACGTGTTAGTTGAGAGAGGGCATACTCTAAGCTCTTGGAAACTAATGTGTAGGTAGAGTTTGGAGAGAAAGAGCACCGATTCTGTTTTTAACTTCAATTTTTAAAAAGAAGACCACGAACCTGTCATACCACTGTGCCTATTTTACAGCATTCCATCCTCCTCCATGGAAACAGTGAGTTTTAAGTCGCATTTGTTTCATAGCCTTTGCTTACAGGAAGTCATCAGCCTACAGCGCTCAATCCAGCCTGCAGCTTCACGCCTGAATAAGTGAATAAAAACCCCCCATCACACTACGCACACAGACCTCCACACAAGCTGGAATTTCCTCCAATCCAAATAAAACCAAACATACAGCTAATTAACATGATGTTATTTTTATTAAAACAGTTCCTTATTGAAATGAGGACGAAATAAAAACAAGCACTAGGGAAGAAAACATATCACATATATGAATTTTAGCATTTATATTGCATAGATCAGCTCCGCAAAAAAATAAAAATCTTGCGCTCTGCAGACATGGGCACTTTTTAAAGAGAGGAAACTGACATGGACGTTCTTCAGCTCTCATTATGATCACGTGAAAGTGCTATTAATCATTTCCTGACAACATTTGGAGGACAAACTCGACTTTCTTTCATAGCCACCATTAGGAAATAGCACATTTCCATATTAAAACAATGCATATTTACATACTGCTCACTTCAATCTCAAGACCAGAGCAGAAATATCACATTTATCTCTGCTGATGTCCAGATTATAGACAGATCTGGAGTTTTTGTAACAACAACAAGAATACAATCAGGGTTAACACTTGAAAATAATATTTAAGGCTATGTGTAACACATGGCATGCAAGGTTAATTGCTGGAAAACAAACACGCACACAAACATGAAACAACTTTACACACAGTACCACAGTAACAGCATTACATCTGTGCACCTTGAAGCACATCTTATTGCCTAATCGGAAGAATATATTATACAGTATACTCCTTCCAAGAGAAAATCTGGCTCTTGAATGAATGCACAGCAATCGTAACCAAACAAACAGTCATATATTGCATTGAAGTGCCACAGCAATGCTCCGGAAGTGACTGCTGGTGGATTTAAAAAGCAAAATAAAAAGCCTTCTCAGCTTTCTGCATGCATTTCTCTATCGCATGAAGATGGAGATCGTCTCTTCAATTCACAGCGATTGAAAGCATTAGTCACGGTTATGATCGGTAATAAAAGGTAAGGAAAGGCAACTTGTTACAGTCAATCTGGCAACTTCAAAAAGGTAAGCCGTACCACGCATTGCCACACATGACTATGGCAGACTGAGAATGAGTAAGAAAAGTGCATTGCACTGCACACCTCCAGGAGAGCAAAAACAAATCATTTAATTGGGTTACAACCGCATTTGTTTCTCATTATAATATTATATGATGAGTGATATCAGTGCCTGAGGTACCTTATGATTCCATGTACACCCTTTAAAAGGGCTCTTAGTACCAAATTTGCATTCATACTTGATCATTTTTGGTTTAAGATAAATACGAAGCAGTTTCAAGCCTCTGAAAAATGGAGGTTGGCATCTCCTCGTGTATTTTTGTTATATTATTATTTAAGAAAAAAGCATTTATAGGGTTCTTTCTGTCATAGCATCTATGATATACAAGTATATATGATATACATACATTATATTATCAATCAATCGTATTAGTATAGCATTATAAACTTAACTTCTTCTGATAGCTATATCCCTGATACACAAGTGATGATTATCAGAAGCATGTAAATGTAATTGTGGTGAGGGGGCGAGGCTGAGAGCCGTGGGAATGGAAAGAGGACAGTGCTTGAGTGAGAACGAGAAGCACCTGTGGCACACACTGGCCTCAAGTTCCGCAGAGGAGCTCTGGATTATAAGAGCCAATGTAATGATGTTAAACAGCCTGTCGGGAAGGAGGAAGAGAACCGACGAAATTTAAATAATTTATTAAAGAGAAAAAAACATACAGACAGCAGCTCCTCATGGAGACTGCCGTCGAACTGAAAACAAACACAACGTAAATACATCCAGGCCTGGTCCTCTCTCATCCTCCTCTGTCGTCACTCTTCCTCTTGTAATGCAGAGCTCCTCTGCGGGACTCAAGGCCAGTGTGTGCCACAGGTGCTTCTCTTTCTCACTCAAGTGCCGGCCTCATTCCATTCCCATAGCTCTCAGCCTCGCCCCCTCGCTGCTGTAATGTTTTAGAATTAAGTGACTGTCTGGGAAACAAGTTGTGAATATGTTGAATCTAAAGCTGAAGTACTGTTATGGGGTTTTATTTCCAAACCTACAGTGTTAATTTTGCAAAGAAAATATAAGGGCGAAAAATGTTTGCTGCCTATGCCTGGAAACAAACAGAAACTTGACAGCTCTGCTGCGCCAGTAATGTCCGTCCGTCCGTTCATTCATTTTCTTTTCAGCTTAGTACCTTTAATAATCTGGGGTCACCACAGCAGAATCAACCGCCAAAGCGCGCATCAGATAGATGCTACGCTATCCCATGATGTACCGCGACAGATTTTATGAATGGGAGTGAAGCGATGCAACTGGCACTGGTAGGACACGTGATGATGACAAAATGGTGGATGTGCAGTAGTATGTCCGAGTTCAATTCATACTAATGACATTCATACTGTATAGGACGTACTTTTCTAACAGCTGAGTTGTACGTTTAAATTCAAATGCGGCACCTACTGAGTAGTTGACATTTTCAGACGCAATGATACAATTATTTGGTTTAGGCAATCCATCACTTTTGAGTTGGTCGGTAATTCACCTTTCTTTATCATAAATTTATATTAAAAGTTTTTGCAAATCTAAAATTTGAAATCCAAAATAATAAAATAAAATTTAGATTAAAAATAGATTAAAAATAAAAATAGATTCTGCATGCCAGGCTATTAGATCAACATGTCACTTTGTAAAGCAACATTTTACAAATGTAAAAACAGTGCTGTAGTCTGTCAGTGCATGTTTGGTTCATCCATACAGACTAAACACGTAATATGGATGTGAGTGGAGTCATTGTTTTTAAATAGTTTACGGTTGACAACAACGTTAAACTTGCACATTGAATTGCAAAACAAAAAAAAAGAAAGAATTGGGCTAAACTTTTTTTTAACTAAAACTAAATGTTTAGTCAAAAGCGGTTTCATGAAAACACACCCTAACAGGAAAAAGCAATCGCATTTCAAGATGGCAAGTAGGGCATCTCATATCTATATCAGGACCAAATCGCACACCTAAATCTTGTTCACTTGTGACCTAAAAGCTTTCTCACGGTACCGTTTTCACATTATAAAAGCAGAAACAGGACAATACTTATGGATACGGTGAAGTCTACGGTCATCTATTTACTTGTGCAATAGCGGCTTGAGTTGGAATGCTGTTCATGTCTTCAGATTCCTCTTGTCCATGACCAGTAACAGTCATAAAGTGAGGCAGATATTTGTTCAGTTCAAAAACAAGAAATCCCATCATCTTTTTTTATGTGATGTTTCTTGTTGGAGTGCTTGAGTGAACAAGAAAGAAAGTTGAAGGGTTGAGGACAGGACTCCACAAGAAGAAAAATCACCTAATACTTCCTCAATAAGCAGTTCACTTGGTCTTCGAGAACAGCTGCTGTTTTGTTCTGAAAACGCCACTTCACAGGAGCGTGAAAACAAACCGCACAGTGATATTCTTCCATATAGTCAGAATAAAAAGTCACAGATTTGATATTCTCATCGCATCTTGTCCTTAAAAAAAACCTTTGATGAGAAATGGCTGAAAACCCCCAACATGGAGACTTTTCAAAAGCAACGTTCAGTGTAATGTGATTGTTGCAAGGACACACAGTGACACAAAAAACGTACATGCAAATGGCGAGGGGAAAAAGGCGAGTGTTCTTTAGTGACCTCCTTCATCCCAGGAACAGTCGTTCTTTTGCTTGGCCAACTTTCTGACAACACGCTCCAGCTCCTTACGAGACTTCTGTTCCTCCTCCAGACACTGCTTCATCCATTTATTCTCCTACAAAATGTACAGCACCAGATGATCATGCTACTATCCTACTATCCTGGTTATAGTTTTGGCTGACAAAAATAATAATTCAAAATTTTACCTTTTTTAATTCATGGACTTCATCTTTCAAGGCATAAACGGCATCAACTAGACTTCTGCAAAACAGTACAATGCATTTTTTAGGTATGAACAACCAAGCAAATTAAACCAAAGGATAGTATATAATTTATCCTGTTTTTCTTTCGTTAATATTATTAAATACACATCAAAACCAAATGAAATATGTACAAAATCTATTTGCACAACAATGATAATGAAATAGTATTTAATATAACCCTTTAACTGTCAATAAGTATGTTTACATGGACACCAATAATACAGTATTAATACGATTAAGACAATACTCTGATTAAGAGTCAACCATGTAAACAGCAATTTTTGATTAATTTTATCTGATTAAGGTCATAATCAAAATAATCACAAATCAAACTAAAACATTTGAGTATGCCGATTTTAGTCGCATTATTGAAGTGCAATACAGAAATGTAAACATCTTAATCAAACTATAACTGTCATGCAGGATTTACGCCGCATTTTGCGACAGGATATATTATATACATATAGCTGTTTGACACTATTCTTTCATTAAAACAACACTCTTCCTCCATTTCATAGTTGCACCCAATATCTTGTTTGTTACAGGGGCATGCGTAAAATGCTCTGAATGAACAAGTACTAAACAGCAGTTTAAGTCAACAAACTAAAAATGAAACTCTGGAAGAAATGTGGATAGTGTGGTGATGCAATGATGTTAATCGAATTATGTGTTATGACACGTAAAACAGGATCATGAAAGAAACATTTAAAAAGCAACTGTATTATTAAAAAGTTTTTTTTTTTTTTTTTTTTTAAAGTTGTCTTATTCAGATTAAGGCAAATATTAATATTACTGATGTCCATGTAAATGTAGTCATTGTGACATCATTAGCAGTTTTCCATATGTTATTTTTAATACAGAACTCAGTCTTTGCTTAGTGGTGTCAGAAAACTTTTCAAAGAGACAAATGTTTTTTCTTAGACTGATTAAATTGTGGTTAAATAGGATAATTTAATACAATAATGAATATATAATTAAAATACTAATTATAACAAAAAAATGAACACTAAATAGATTTTAATTAAGCATAGTTAAACAAAAATGATTTAATAATGTAGCAATAAACTAGCAAAAACATATGCATATATTGTTTCTGGTTTAGCTTTTGGCTAATTGAAGATGTAATAAACACAGGGATCTTTTTTTAAAGACAAAAGTTTAAATAATTGATCAAGTGACAAAATGGTATAAGAATGAGCCAGTTGTTGCTAATTAAAATATTTATATTTTTGTCAAATCATCCTATCAGGGCATCCTCAGTGAAAGCAAACATAAAAGTCTGTTATGAATAGAAATTTTCCTTGATCCTGCACTATTTCTAGGAAAATATCAACAATTTTGTTATAATTTTCATTAAAAATTGTATTAACAAGTAACAAATCATGTCACTTACAGTGTAAATATGATGTCAATTATCTGATACCTTTAATAGTTTACAAAACAATAATAAAATGTTTCATAAATCTGGCACTGAAAATTGATAATGTAGTAAAAATACTACAAAAATCAATGCTCATTCCTGCACATGTGAATTCTGATTAGATATAATCCATAGATATACTGTATAAACTAGATATCGAATACGGACCCTGAGCATGCATCAATACCGCCATTACATTGTACAGTGCTCCCAGGATTAAAGTCAATCAACAACACATAGTCAAGACTAAAATTAATCTGAAGATGCTGGTCTTTTGCACTGTGTAACTTTTGTGGGTGTAGTACAGAACAAACAAAGAAAACAAAACCTGAAGACACTACATTTCATAGGTAAGATTTTGTTTTTTAAGTTTTTGTTTATGAACTTTTGTGCTCAACAAGTAACGTTATTGATGATAATACAGTCACTTACTACACTGATCATAAGGCAAAGTAGCACCAACTCGCACTAAAGGCTAGGCTTATGATAGTTTTGTTTAATAAAATCAGCAAACAATGCAAATGAAATATGATAACAAGATGCTGATGCCAGAAACTTTTAATTAAACTTTTATTATTGTCGGCTAAGTGAAGTAACAGCTAGTTTTGAAGAAACTTATATGGGTGCCTCATAACATAACAGTGCCTGCGCCTCAATGTGCAAACTGTCCACTGTAAATGATTGAATATTACAAATGTTATATACCATTTAGATCAGAAAGTCTAATAATGTCTTTATCAGAAAGAAATTTGGTCTGGATATGCACATTGGAACTCATGGATATAACGTTCATAATTTGGAATCATTCACAAATGAATCGCTCCCTCTGTTAGAATTAGAAGTGAAAGCGGGAGAGTGGGTGTGTTTCAGGAAATAAATTGGATCAAATTTAACAGGGAGGGAGGATAATACATTTCCATGCACACAAACATACACTCTTTGTTGGCAATGCCTGTGCGATCACTTATTCTTCGATGTAGAAAAGTGATGCCAAATTATAAATTTCATAATTTAAAAAAACATTTGCATACTGACCACTGGAAAAAACTCCTGATCATAGATATAAGTATAAATGTTTACATATCTATGCCGCCAGATGGCCAGTCCTTCGTTACACCTTGGTCCCACGTTAATTTCAAAGGAGCGCTACACTGTACTAAAACGGCGGCTCTATTGATGCACTCCTTCCAATAGACAACAGCAGGGTAAGCAACATCTTATGTAAGTATGTATGGACATAGTTGGACATACTTCTCCTCAATGGTGGTCTGGCCATTGCTCTTGATATCCTCCACAATAATCTTCTCTTCTTCTGGAAGCAGGACCTGCGGGACGCACTCTTTACGAACAGCTGTGTGAGCAAATCAGTTTTTTTTTTAGCAAATTAATGCTATTGAATATTCAGTTACTTATACAACGCATATGACAATTACAGTACAGAACATAAAACCTGTGGTGGACTGGTGGAGACTGGCTCCTGTGCAGTAGGCCTCAATCACTTTGAGTATCTGGGCGTCCTCTTCTAGAGCTGCCGTACCTGCGAGACAAACAAACAATACATTATTGCTATTTGTTTGCAGATGCTAAAAGACAAGTTGGCAATGCCGCTTGTTGTTTTGATTAGGAAAAAAATCAAAAATTAATTCAAATGAAGCTGATTTTTCTTTTTTATTGACTGAACCTACTTTTTCTAAGCAGGAACTCGTCGTCTGATGGCTTTCTCTCTGTTTTTCTCTTGGGGAGGAACTTCTTAATGGGTCTGGGGCTTTTACTAGAGTCCTGAGGAAACAGTGTGGTGTTAATGAAGTAACGGCGTCTGCTAAGCATTGAATAAAAAACCACAACACTGCAGCGAGCAGACTTTCATTCACGCTCAAATCCCGAGCGAGGATGCTAAGAAATGAAGAGCAATAAATGCTGGCTTACATAAGTTATGACGCCATTTAGGATAATTTAGCAGCAAATTATCAGGGTCTCATGAATGAAAACAATTTGCAGCAAAGAGACCCTTGTCTGTTTGGGAATTAATTATTACAGACTGAGTCATTTGTTGACTTTGTTACACCCACGTTTTTCTTTCAGTGCTAACACCACCTAATGTGGAATCTTCCGGATTAAAAACTTCATTAGATCAAGTTATTTTAACCAACTGCACTATACTGTTTTACAGATTAATTTAGGGTTTAACATTTTACATCTGCTATGGCTGAAGTCAGCTTTAATGCATTTTGAGTTAACCACCTTAGTGACATTTGATTTTCTTGATGATCATTTACCGTCAATGACAACAAATCAGTTTAGTCATAGTTTTAGCAAAACTTCATTTACGGCTAAAGGGATAGTTCATCCCAAAATAAAACTTACTCATCATTTACTCACCCTCAAGTGGTTCCACAAATGTTTGAGTATCTTTTTTATGCTGAACACAACAGAAGATTTTCTGAAGAAAGCTGGAAACCTGGAAACATTGACTTCCATAGTATAAAAAATACAATGGATGTCGATGTTTTTCAGTTTCCAAAATATAATGGTTCAAAAGCTACAGTAAAAATCCATAACCTGGATAACAATAAGTTTCTTTGATTATTTAATAATAACATAATTTAATATGGATAATAATCATAAATTGCATGACACTTCATTATTTATGCCTTTTGTTGACATTACTGCAGCTCTTTTTAGTTTTTTCTCATCAGTTATGTATATTAGGGTTGTGTCATGTCTAATGTTGATTATTGATGATTAAGTTGATTTTATGCGTGTTATCATCATGGTGTTTAGTAGTTGTGTGAATGACACTGGGCACATTAGTGTGTTTCTATGCTCCAGGGAAAAGTTCATTTATACAGTTGGTGACAGTTTAAAAGCGCCATTACTGCCGCTAGTGGCACTGCCGCAGCACTAAAAGATTAAGAACAAGTTTTTAGGAATAACCACAGTTTGCGACTATGCCACCAGGGGGCACAAAGAGAACAAACAGAAATATAGAGTAGCTGTAAATACCCTGCTGACTTGTAAATGAAGATTAAATAACAAAAAAAGCATTATAATTCCTTCATTAATCATTAAACATTTGTTAAACTTTATTATTATTGTAAACTTGCTTAGTGAAATGAGGATTCATTTTGGAAAGTAAAATGAAAGAAATAGGCGTAAAAGACAACTAAAATGAAAATACAAAAATACATACATACACAAATAAGTGGGCCTAAATAAATAATCAAATCAGTGTTTTAGCCTAAATACAGAGACATGTACAGTGTTTGTTATTTTAAAGTGATGGGACTAAGACAGCTAATAAATAGGCTTTTTCATTTACGTTTTCATTTACATTTTACTATCTCATTTTATGTCTTGAGTATTGTACATAAATAATAAATGAATAATTAAAAAGGCCTAAATAATTATTTGTTTCAAGACATTACCAGCAAAACACTGAGAAATGGTCCGGCGCATGGTCAAATGGGTTCTTAAGTTAAATGCTACTTCATCAAAAGCATAAAAATAAATTGACCAACTGATAATAAAAAATAATTTTTTTCCACAGGACGTAAATTTAAGTCCTGCATGTTTATTTTTAATAGTTTAGTTTCAGTTTAGTGGAAACATCTGTATGAGCTTTGTTTCTTTATAAGAGTCTCATCATGGTTGTGTTGTTGTCTGTGTAACAAAGGTTTGATGTAGAGTGTTAGTACTTCAAAACACTGGTGTATAATACTATAATTAACGATACTGTAGTTTACTGTAACATTAAGAAAAATATATTATATTTTCTTCCTTATTTTTATTGGTAAATTTATGGCAAACACATATAGTTTTTTTATGTAATACATATACAGCTTTCTTTAGAATATCCTCTTTTGTACTTAAAAGTAAAAAAAGATCAAACAGTTTTGAAACCAGCGAAGAAAAAGTAAATGACAGAATTGTAGTTTTTAGGTGAACAGTTGCTTCAAGGTTGTAAAATCCAATTATCATTCTTAATGTTTCAGTTTATGTTAAATTTGTGATGTGCCACTGAAAGTAAACAACTAATGAATTAATAACGTATGTATTACTCATCCATAGAAATAAAGTAAAAATTTGACATCATTACATGCTGTGCTAACATAACTGAAGAGGTGGTCCACTGTGATATCATATTTTAAATACAGCTGTGTGAACATAAACAACATCTCTGAATGTAATACGCTCAAAGTTTGATGCAAAGGGAGACATTGGTTTTTACAGAGTTAGCTTAGCAAAGCCGACAACGAATGAAGTTTGGGGACTACAAAAAGATACATCCGGGTTAGTGAGATCACAAACGCTCCAGGTTACATGCATTCAGCATTCGCATAAACCCCGCGCAGTGAAGGGGCGTGGCCAGAGTCACTGTAATGTTAAAGCAGACAAAGCTAAAATGCCGTCCAAATGCCACAGAACTTCTTCTGTTTCTGTTATTGGGGTTCCAAAGGACACAGCACAAAGAGACAAGTGCTTACAGTTTAATTTTAATTATGTTCCAGAGAATTATAAAAAAATATATAGGACTAGCATTTGACAAAGAACAGATTCCAGAATCTCCCCCAGTTCGGTGCTGGATTCGGCTAAAAATATCTCAAATAAGGAGCCGCTCCAACCATAATAGAGTAATATTACATGAGTAATTTGCGAGTAACAACCTGTAAGTAATTTTTTTTTGTTAAAAATTATCTATAACATGCACAGTTTCTAGCAGTAACAAAATGTTGTAGCAATGACGTAAACAACAGAAAATGCGGTTTTAACTTAGCTACAAATTCATATTTATCCATCAAACTGCTGTAAACACCCAGTCTTCAGACTTTCTTCTCTCTATGCGGACGCTTTCCCTTCATTCTACATCACAAATAAAGAACTCGCAATAGATATGTGAACATTTCATTTTACTTACAGATGCTTATTCTGAATATATGTGAAAGACACTTGTCAAGATTTCATTTTAGAGAGCAGGCATGAGGTTGAGCTGTGTTGTGTCCTCTGTGTTATTTTCTGTCTGATTCAGGCTTAAACTGATACGGCTATCAGCTACTCTGTCTGACAGTGTTTACACAGCAGAGGCACAGCGCATAATATTGACGCTTTTTCTGGTGACGTGGAGCCAATCAGCGAATCACAGCACATTATGTTAGATGACCAACCAGAGCCTCTTGAGGACGGGCCTTTCAGAGGAACTAGGAAATATGACAGTCGTTTTCATGTTAGCCGAGTAGCTGTATATAATCAAAGTAAGATATATGAAACAATTACTTGATTTTTTTTTACAAATGAAGCATGAGCACACATTGCTTTGCATCTCATAAACACAATCAAGCCTTAAAAATACACTCTGGATCACCCCTTTAAAACCAATAAGAAAGCTTTTAGCTAAAAAAGTTTGATTTATTTGTATAGCAGTTCTGAACTGTAAGTGACATTTTAGTTCACGTTTAACAGTTCACATGTGACCTCAAACTGAAAGTAATTACCGAGAATAAGCACACAAATAGCACAAAAATATCTATTCCTAGGGAGTTACTCATTCACAAAATGAAAGTGTAAGGTTATTAGAATCAATATGAACAAAAGTGAAAGTAGCAAATATTAGCAAACAGATGCGCATGATGCATCCAGACGTTTGTTATGAAGAAATATCAACAAAGTGCTTAGAGCTCGACTAACTCTCTAAAGACAAATATTTAGCATAGAAAACAACACCTAACAGCAGGTTTTTGAAAATACCTCTATGTTCAAGTTTGAAAAGGAAACTGCCATTATGGTAAATGTGACCCTCAAAGTTCCCGGACACAAAGCAAAGACACATACAGTGCAGTTGGAAAATAATAATACTTATGGTGACATAAGCAGAGGCTTTATACAGCGCCCTAACTTGACATTATGAGTCATTGTGCCATTGTCTGAGCAACCATGTCAGATTCTGATTCTATTGCTCATCTAAATTTAGCTTACCGGTAGACAACATAAATTCAGGGTTACAAATCACTCAAGAAATGACGTCATTCCCTTAACAAAGTGGATTTCACTTGTTTATTGTACAGGTATAAAGATTATTATCTAACTTCTGCCAAAACACCCCCTGGACCTGTTGCTAAGAAGGCTTTTCATTGACTTGACTTTGAAAAAAAGAGGGAAAAAACATGGGGCTTAAGTCCATATTTATAGACATGGTTAAATTGATGTTTTCTAACCCTTAATCCCTTCAGAATTACTGGAGATAGTCTACAAGACAATTCGCTCTCCCTGTTGTTTGCTTTCTCCCTGGAGCATCGCTGTAGGTTATTAGACTATCAACCAAATATAGAACCAATTTAAAGGTGCTGTTATGTTTTTCCAATATGAAACAATCTCTCCCTAGCGCTTCAACTCTTCTATCTATATATTTAGTAACAATTTCCGCATTATATGATTATATGAGTGGCACATTTTCAACAGCTCTGTGATCAAATGCCTGAAATGTTCAGAGCTGGATTGAACTCCTGACATATTACTGCTTGATAGAGGTTTCAATCATTATGGGAGCAAAAATAAATAAATAAACAAATAAAAGAATTAATATACTAATAAAAACAGCTACATTTAATATTTGTAACTAAATTCTGAAATAATAATTTAAAAAAACTTCAACGCTAATTTACTTAGTGTTTTTTTATCAAAGTGTTTTTTGAGTCATACAACTGTTCAGAAAATCCATACTAAATCTGCTTAAATCAACTAAAAGGGAAGTAAAAGTGAAGTACGTCACATGACTTGCATTTTTACACACACGTAGTTGATTCTATGTTATTCCATTAAATCAGAAACAGGTGCTTCTCTTTGTATGTTTGTCCAGTGAGTGCAGTTTAGTAAGGGGTGATGCCGAAGATGTTTTTTTCTATATTCATATTTCTCTTTACTTATTTAGAGGAGTCGGAGGGTTTAGTTTAATTTGTTATTTTCTTTCATTTGACACCGCTTGTTTAGCTTCTCTGAATCAGGTTTGTTTCAGTTGATTTGTTTGATTGTTTTTCATTTATTGTACACAGTTGTAAATATGCTTTGGGTGATTAAAATTTTTTTTTTCCTTCACCTTTACTGTAAATAAAGCAAACCACTTTTTGTTAAGTCCATTGTCTGTGTCGATCCATAGCAGCTAACGTCTCAGGGGAATTTTTAAAATATTGAGTTGTCTTAATTGTTTGTTTAGCCCTTTTCATCCTCCGGGCGACATGGGGCGTAACAAACAGCAACCCATCTGATTCAATGCTTGCATTTATTTAAAATAGATTACTGGTTGATTTAGGGACTGCAACAAATGAAACTCCATTAACTAGACACTGATTTGAAGCTTTTGGGATATTGCAGCCTGCAAGGAGCCAATTTAAGATCCACCATTAAAAAAATATAAATTCCTTTTCTTTTTTTATTGGTAAAAGTTAATGTAGAATATTTAATGTTTTTTATATTGCCCATCTTCCAGTGCTTTTGCTGCATGGTACAGTATTTTGTCTTGTGGTACATCTGTCTTTAGAATCTGTGGCCTTGATTTTGTGTTCATAGCTGAATACTGAGTAAACATTATTTTACCCAAGCATTGACATAATTTACAGAAAGGTCTTCTGAAACATTTAAAGAGCAATGTATTTAATTTGCTTTTTACGCATATGAAGTTATTTGATTTGATGCAGAGAACAAAAATGTTATCTCCAATCCACACCAACACGACTTTTAAGACTGTGCTTTAGTAATAATAAAGTACATCTTCAAAAAGTCTTTTAGTATCTGATCAATCACCTTGTTGGCTCTTCTCACCAATCAGAGCAACTGAAACATAGAGTAGCAACAAACGGAAAGCATGTTTCTGAGAGCCTCTTACCACGCTTGTCAAGCGAAAGCAGCATGAAATGAGTAAAAAGCTGCTTCAGAATAACTGTTCTTGATTTTTGAAAGAGCTGGACAATGTTTATTAATTAAACACTTTAGGCCTCAGCAGCTTTTGATTTCTAGTGTCTCATCATTTATTAAATTAGAAATAAAACAAAAGTTGTACATTGACTTCTAAAGGTAATTTCATGCAATTAATTTAATCAAATTCATATTTTTCCTATAATGTATGCACATGCGTGACTTATTCAGAAGTTCTACCAAGAGTTTATTTCATGCAGGAAAAGGGTTGGTGGGTTTTGCGGACATATCGATGTAAGAAGTTTGAGAAGCAGGATGTTTCAGTAGATGATGTTGCATGGGAACTCCCTTCCTCCTAATGAATAGATAGCAACATAGCAAAGTTCTCAAACGCAACTTAAGCAAAGATCATCGAAGACAGAGGAGGAATAGATTACAAGTCAAACAAAAAGACACAGGAAATGCCTTATCACAGAATGAAACAGAAAAGCTTGGATTAAACGTGTAACACCAGTGCTAGCCAAGCACACAGACACACACACACGCACACACACAAAAACTCACATAATCTACGCTTACCTTCAGGATATAAGACATCCTCTAAAGAAGCAGAAAATGGAGAGAGAATGAAGATGTGTATGAGAATAAAAGAAGAGCCTGACAGAAATATGATGGACAGATCAGTGAAAGGTGAACATTAATTCAGATCATTTCGAAAAACTGAAGATTTTACATGCGTTTCTTAAGTAGGAGAGCACCATTAACACCCGTTCTAATACAATCAGAGTTGTATGAGTGGGATTTGGGTAGAAGTAGTTGATATGCAACTCAAAAACCATCAAACATTCCACTTTTCTGTGAGATAACACCTCCACCGCAATGTGTGGTGAAAAACAAGAAGGCGGCTACCAGCTTTAACACTCACAATCAGTTCACTGTGGTTCGGTTTCCTGTTAGGACCACCAAGAACGCACAGAGGTAAATTACGCTCCCACTCAACATGTCATATGACTGTTTTCCAGAAAGCGTACCTCTTTATAGCCGAGAGCGGCGGAGGGCTTCAGGGGCGGCGCGGGTCTCAGGCAGCTTAAAGACCAGGGCTTGGTGATTTTAGGGGGTTCGAGAGGTCCTCGGTTAACCGCAGTCGTACTGAAACCGTGCAAGTGGTGGGAAGACGTGCCAGGCATGGTTAAAGGTTTAACATCAACATTCTGTAAAATACACAAGAACATGACGTTTGACTTACTGTTCAACTGGATAGAGGTGAAAGCTGCAAAAAACGCTATTACCTTCAGCACTGTTTCAAATGGACTTCCTACCTTTATGTAAGGATGAAGATGTTCTAACCAATCCTGTTGTTCCTGTAAGCTACTGCAGAACACCATGGTCCGATCTATTGAGCCACCTAAAAAAAAGATAGTCAGCAAATAAGGAAGAGACAAGACTGAAGTACTTTAAACTGTTTAAGCAAGATTTGTTTGGAAATTTTCAGACCTAAAAGAGCAACTGAAAAGTGATGGGTTTTTGAAAATGCTTTTCCATGCAGTGTGTAACCAGTGGCGTAGCGGACGGGCCCGCGAAAATCCGGCAACCGCAATAATCAAACTCTTGAAAACAACTGTGGTCGGAACCAAAGTTCACAGGTCTGTGTTCTCTGATCTCCTCTCAAGCGGTGGACTACTTCATTCTAATTGTTTGGCGCCGAACCGCGTCAAGCTCGGTCATAGCTCATACCATAAAGTTGACTTGATTTCAACTCTCCTCGACACCCACACAGGAGAAGACGCGCCGCGCTTTTCCTCGCCGCCGGTTCTCATTGAAAATTAATCACTTCTGGCTACTTTGACGCTCTTGCCGCTTTCGGTTTGTGATCGCTCCTCAGTTTGTGAAGGCTTCCCTGCATTGTCGCTCCACCCCGCTCCTTAGTTTGTGATTGCTTCTCAGATTGTGATCGCTCCTCAGTTTGTGAAGGCTTCCCCGCGTTGTCGCTCCACCCCACCTCCCCAACTGGGGGCCCCATCAGTGATCCCTGCAGGGGGGCCTCCACATTTTGCGCTACGCCACTGTGTGTAACCCAACACTAAGTGAATGAAAACATCCAGCTGAGGTTTAAATCTGAAAGTGCACAGTATGAAATATTGATTCTTTAAGGAAATAGTGAACTATTAGTCAACTAATAGTCGAATAAATGAATTGTGTTGGGTCCCAATCTTTTGCTTGAACGTGTCGACGTCGACATGGTATGACCAAATATGAAATGCGGATCCTGTAAAATGCACTTTTTCCTTCAGACACTAGCAGAGAGTGGGGGATCACGAGACTGATCATGACATGAAGATGTTGATCACATATGGAGATTCTGCTGCAGGGAATAAAGGGTTAAAGTTTATTTTTACAACAATACCACAGTATAGCCAACCGTGTGCTGTGTTTGTTCCTTTCATTTTTCAGATTTTTGATACAATAACCTACGCTGCAATGTGTACTGACACATAAATTAACCCTGAAGCACTTTTTGCTTGATTCTGGATTTATGAACATTTTGGAACTTACTCATATTCAGTAATATTGTTTTCAAAAAAATATTCTTTATTATGTCACATAAAACACAAAAAAGTCAGTATTTTCACGCTGCACTTATATGGACAAGTCAGTCTCTAAACCATCAAAAATGAAAAACGCTTATAATGTCATATGCAACATTGCACCTTTTTTGCTTATAGATAAAATATGTAAACAAGTGCGTGTGTATTTCTCAGCATTTACACTTACTTTTATAGTATTGAAGTTCATATTGTTGGAAGTTCCTGATAATGTCTGAGACACTATGAATAGCAGCTATGCTAATTGCTTAATTAGCAATGCTAATAAGCTATGCTTATTTTGTTTATTCTTTTTTCCACCTGGGGATACTCATCCTGAGGCTTTTAAAGATTATGCAGTGCCATTGATGTGATCCATGACCTGTGAAAAAATGATGCCAAGGTATCCATAATCCTGGACCAGGCCGTATCCTGAGCTAATGCTGTGGCGGTCACGGAGGAGTGGAGAGCACGAGACTGATTTCTGAAAGACCCAGTGACAGACCAGTCTTCACATTGATCCTGTGGGTCAGCTGTATACTCGACGATGACCTCCAGCCTCCAGCACCTTGACTGCAGCTCTGCACAAGAAGTTTGGCAAGAGGGGAAATGGTCTTACCCAACTGAGCCCGTTTCTTTTAAGGTTTTTTCCTTCACCTTCGCCAATTGGTCAAGTTTGTTCCTCGCCACTGGTTTTCTTGGTTTGGGACTTGTGGAGCTGCACATTGATGGATTTGCTCTTCAGTGTTTGGACTTGATGAAAATTAAACCACACTGAACTGAACTAAACTGAACTTCAACTCTGAAAACTGGACTAACACAGTTTCAATATACTAGAACTTCTATGTTAAGCTGCTTTGACACAATCAACACTGCAAATGCACTATATAAATATACATGAATTGAATTGAGTTTGTTGTATATTGTATTGTAATTGTATTTGTGAAATCGAAGTAGTTTCATTGAGTACAATGATTTTTCAGTACTCACATAACACCTTCACTAGACTCAGAATCGAAGCTTAATTTGTACCGGAACACGCTGGATCTGGCACCTCATTTTACTGATCCCCATCCTCAAACGCCCTGCTCCCCCACCCGCTGCTCACTTTCACTTTCTTCCGCGACTCCGCAAGCCTCTTTTGTCCGCGACAACCCCCCCTGCTCTTCACTTTTGTCCATGACACCCCTCCGGTATACACCCCACCCCACGGATCCTAGGGTATCATGCCAGATCCGTTACCCCGATCTGTTCCGGGACCTCTCAATTCACAAATTAAGCACTGCTCGGAATGTATGATCATACTGGGTATTAGATATCATGGGCTTTTAAAACATTTTTAAAAATTCCTGTCTGGAAATTGGCAGATGTATTTTTTATGAACTGTAATGAAACACCTGCAAGAAAATTCTGTTTGTGTTGAACAGGTTTGGACAGAAACAAAGGTTAGAAAAAAACAATACCATTTTCAACTTTAGGTGAAATACTCCTTCAATAAACCGCATGCTGTCTATTTGTCATTTTAAATTCTGCTGCTAGTTTGTAGAGCAGCAGGCAGCACTAACTATAAAAAGCAACATTAATGACAGTTGAATTCTGTGACACCCCACTAAAAGTGTTTACATGGACTGAAACAAACCTGTGATCTCAAAGGCATAATGGCCGGTCTCTGCATCCTCTGGCTGTTTGGTTACAGAGGTTCCTGTCAGCGGCAAACGTCCCTGAGATGAGAAGAAAAACATGAATAAAAGCTCTGCGCTTCAGCCTTCTTCACAAATAACAGATGCTGATTGATTTAAAAACACAAGAGAGGGAGAGAGAGGAAAAAATAACTCACCTGATAAATGAAACCACTCATTCTTGGGCTGGCAGACAGCATGATTATCACATTAGGAAACAGCATGAAGTATCTCTCTTCTTTTTCCTTGGGAAAAAAAAGAAAGAAATGCATGCAATTTTACAATTCAATACTTCTGCACAAATGAGGTGAATTGCCACTACATTACACACTGTTCATGGTACGGATGCAGGTGTACTGCCTTACAGCAAACAAACACAAACATCAAATGACTCTGGGTCAAAGACGCAACATCCTATTCTGTTGTCTGTATTAAATTTAAAATGCAATTCTTTTCACGCACATAAAACATATTAAACATATGCATAACCAAAGTGTTACAATATTTTAAACAGCTTTTGTGCAGTATATACACAATATGGCAAAATAAAAACAATAACAATATACAATATCAAAATTCGGGTACAATAATGTTCGATCCTAACAAAAAACCCCAGATATTTTCAACAGTAATTATTAAAATAACTTTAGGTTAATAACACTAAGTTTTATTTTCTTAAGAGGGATGATAATTCCTAAAATAAAATTCATTTATCTTGATATATAGGAAGTCACTGTGGTAAAAAAAAATCTATTAAGTTTCAGAACTTTCTTGTTACTCTAAAACAGCTTATATTGAAGCCAGTCTGCCAAAAACATCAGTGTTGTGGAATGTGTCACTTTATTATTTAATAGTGTGGCTAAATTTTACCATCAACAAAGGTCAAATAAACATCACCGCATCTTTACAGCCAAAGACTATAGAATACACAAGACATGTCACTCATATATGTTACAAATATATAACATATATATATATATATAACATATATATATATATATATATATATATATATATATATATATATATATAATATATATATATATAATATATATATATATATATATATATATATATATATATATATATATATATATATATATATATATATATATATATATATATATATATAAATAATATAACACAAACACACACACACACACATATATATATGTTTTAAATGGGGTAAAGTATAACGGTCAATATGGCGAATGAAGCCCTGCCTACTAGTACAAGAGCCAAATATCAATCGATTTACACTGATGTTTCTCCGGGGGAGAAGTTCGGACCAGACATGTGCTTTTATGACAGTTTTGTGGTCAATAAACACACTGGAATCTCAGCGAATACTTGCTTCACAGACATAAGAAATAGATCTACATAAAGCTTGAAATTTGAACTTTTAAATGAACCAACTACAATTAAAAACAAACTGTCAAATGCACATCACATGACAGCAACTACTCAAACGCTTACAAACTTGTAAACAAAGAGTCGCTGTCATTTCTGGAGGAGATTCGCCATCAAGACCAAGTTGTGAATTACTTCAGAAGAGCAGCGCGATCTGACTTGAACATTATACAGGGGACGATAATGTGCAACACGGCCATAAATGAGGTTGGTGCCGTAATCTCGTTCCTTTTGAGTGCGCATGTGCATTAGCTTGGGCAACCTGGAAAAATGCAGATTTGTTTGATTTGAACGTAACTTATGAGACAGTTGTTGCTTAATTTTATAGGTGATTACAGATATGTAATGTAATTGAAAGCTTGGCTAACAGTTTTGGAGAATTTGATGTTTCCCCATTCAGAAAGAATGCCTGAACCATACTGCCGGAGGTGTGTTTCAAGGACGGACGTAAAGTGAAATGACTTTCCTTAAAGGGACTTTGGCTCCGCCCACCAATTTATGCATACAGTAGTTAAATATTGATGAGATGAATAAAACATCAGACACATCAATAACATTTAGTGTCAGTCTTTTGTATATCATAGTAAAAATGTTCGTTTTTTTGTTCAGAAATACACGTACATCTTTTTTGGGATTAAAAAAAAAAAAAACATTTTCCGTCTTTGACCCCTCTACATTTCACATGACTGTGGAGTAGCACACACTTCAATTGTTTTTGCTACACTGACTACTTATGATCAACAAATATTATACCTTACTTCTAGCAAACCAAGAAAAGGAGACACCAAGAAAAGAAAAACAAAGGGAATATATTGAATAAAGGTAAACCACTCTGAAACATTTCAGTAAGTACATTACAACAAACATCCTACTGTTTTTCCTTCAGCCTATTAGTGGTTTCAGATCAGTTCAACATAACAGTTTCCATTAACCAGATAACCAGATTAGTAGGGGGCTTAAATGTGAAGCCTTCACTAACCACAGATGCAGCAGATAGCAGGGGGATTTGAGCTGTTAACACTTACACATTTTCCATTTATTAGCAAACACAAATCGCACAAATCAAAATACAAGACAAAATACAAGACAAGGTTGTGTTTGTTACATTTAAAAAAATGGTGATTGCACAAAATGCTTAATGATCATATTAATCTCATTCTTAACAAAACAGCCACCCACGTCATCATTTATTTTCAACATTGATTCAACATCTAACCAGCATTTTGCACAAAATAAAATGCGCTATAACCACGCAGCTGTGAAAGCAACAGGTCGGGCTTATATGCAACGCTGTCAGTCTCTGTTTCTCACCTCATTTGCGCTGCTCTGCATGTGGATTTGTGACATGTAGATCACCTGACCCAGTGACTTCATACTGTCGCCCTCCCAGCCTCGCACTGGTTCGGACAAAATCTGCAACTCCAGGTTCTTTCTTTTTCGCAGGTCTTGACACTGAGTCTGAAACAAACAAGCACAACACAGCAATTATTGGCACGCATTTCATTTGATAATGCGAGTTTCCTTATGAGTCAGGAAATAACAAATGGCTAATAGTAATGAAAGTGTTGAAAATAAGTGGAATTGGTTCTGATTAACACCAAAGATAAAATGTGCTAGCATCTTTGAGTACAAGAAACTGAGGTATAAAACATAAATGTTCATAATTCTAAGGAAAAAATACTTAGTTTATATTGTTTAAAAAAAAAAAAACTACAAAATATTACAGCAAAAAGTACTTTTCAAGTTAAATACAGTTTTTTTGTGTCACATGATCCGACAGAAATATTACTATCAGTACAATATTTAGTGAAAATTACAATTAATTTTACTTTTCAAGCCTGTTTCACACCGCAGGCGGGAGCAGCGTATGTTTTTTTTTTTTGGCGTCCATGTTAACAGATTAGACTAGAGCTTTAATACTGCACACAGAAGCAGCGTATCAGTTAGTGCTATCACGATATTTTCGGTGCTAGGTCCATTTTTGCCACGCTCAAATAAAGTGATTGATAATGACCAAAAACACATTAAATGACAGTAAAAGGTAGTATTCATTCCCAATAAATCTACTGATAATATCCACAGATTTTTATATATTCAATTAAATAAACCTAAACGATTAAAAACGGCAACAAATATTTATTGGGACTGAACTACAAAACTAAAAACTATTATAGTATTAGCATTTGATCAAGTATAAATATCACTATAACTTTATTGTATAAATATTATTATTACTATAGGCCTACAATCAAAAACTCCTGACAATCAAAAACAAAATAACATGATAACACAGGCTATTGTTTTATGACCAAGTGCACCTTAAAATACATGAATGACACTTCTCAGAGCCACCAAAGCAACCAGTTTTTTTAGATCTACATATAATTAGTAAAATAAAGATTTGTAGTCTAAGGAAACGTCATAGGAGGAAGTTGCTGCGGGCCTTGGTGCAGATGTAAAAAGTAAAAAAAAATTTTTTTTTTAAGTATATTTATATATAGATAGGTATATAATTATACCTTTATATATATATAGATGGAATAGACAGAGATAGATTGATTTGTGCAACAGCTGCCGATGCCCTCCATACATGCTGCGCACGCGCTGCTCACACTTGCGGTGTGAAACAGGCATCAGTTGATCAATTAAAATCTTTTGTAGGATCATAAATGTCTCTCCCTGGCATTTTTGATCAATTTAATGTGTCCTTGATGGATAAAAGCTTTATTTATTTTTTTTATCTGTTTTGTACTTTAAAAAGGCAGGGCAAGTTTATTTATTTATATAGCACACTTCACACACAATGGTAATTTCAAGTGCTTTACATAAAAACAAGAATAAAAAGACAAGTATAAGAAATAAAAACAGCGAAGAATAAAAATGATAAAAAATACGGATGGTTTCAACAAAAATACAAAACGATAGAATGATTTTCCACATTGAAAATTAGAAATTAAATTTTCATTTAAAACGTGTGAATTTTACATTGACGTCGCTTATTTTCTTTCCTTTCCATAAAACAAAGCTTTAACTATTGCACAGTATTACTATTAATCAAATTTTTAATCAAATGAATGCAACCTTGCTGAACAAAAAAGACATTTAGACTGGTAGTGTTAAAATATTCTGTATCAGAATACTAAATGCAATTAATAATTATTACTAAAAAAACATACTACAGACCTCATATTTTGGAATGGTAGTGCATGCATAATATCTTGAACCTGTTTTTAGTGTTGCTTTTTCCGATAAGCATTCATCTATTGACATCAAAGCTTAACTTGGTTAAAAACTGAACCCAATATAAACTAACAAGTAAAAAAAAGGTCACTCCAGAGTAGGTGGTCATTTTTCCACAAAGCACTTTGTTCCCGTTCCTAAATGATGCTTTCTTACCAAAGCGACTTACAATAAAGTACACACATCATCTCTTAGGCAATTAGGTAACTGAGAAAACATAGGTAAAGGGGGAAGACCAAATCTACAAGACAACTCCACGATTGACACCTAAACCGAGAACACGGGACTCTCCCTTACCTGTCAGAAAAAAACTAAACTAACATACGAAACTGTTCCACAGAACACATAAGTGAAGAAATTACCTACTACTGTGTTGTTCAATGCGGAGACGTGAGACGGGCCATTATCTAAGGAATGACTCATCTTTCCTCAGACATTTTTTTTTACCTTAGAGACACTCTCGCAAACCTTAACCTTTACATTTCATGTAACAGCAAAATCTTCTCCATCCTGAACCTGTAGTGTGGTTTAGACATGATGGTTCAAGAGAATTAAGCAGAAAAAAGACTTTTTGGCACCATTACAGGAAACATTGGTCAAAAAAAAAAGGTGAAAAATCACACACTAGTTAGAAGAAGCTTCAGGTGCCAAACAAGAAGCAAGATTTGACGTACCACAAGATTTTTAAAAGCTGCTGTTGCTTTCAGAATGTCGCTGTAATCTGGATGCGCTTCCTGCAAGCACAAAAAAGGAAAAATTGCGCTTTTAATGAATTACTTTTTTATAGTAATTTTTATGGTTGTCAATGGCATTACTAGCTTGCGATTACCTCGACGTGTCGTTCCAGTTCCTGCAGGAGTGTGGGATATTTGTCGAGTCTCATAAAGGGTTTGCTCAGGCTAGTGGTCAGGGTCAGGATACCTGGAGCACTGGCACCTTGGCTCTCCATGAACTTGTCCAGCTCCTCACTGTTCATGAAAAAAAAATTGGAAATTGATTTGTTGTGATTTTATTTACAATTACATTCTGCCTGTTTCTTTTAATAATTGCTGAATCTATTTTAATGACTGACTAATAATTGATTATTTTATTTTATTTTTTTGCAACAGTTATGGAAATACCAACATCTTGCTCTAAAGTTTGGAGGTTAACTTTTGTCTAAGAATTAGAATTTTAAATGATTTCAGTTTTATCTAATGCATGGGTTCCCAAACTTTTCAGCTTGCGACCCCCAAAATACCAATTCAAGTGACTTGCAACCCCCACATTCCATGGAGCTGGTACAACAGTACTAACAACCATAGGCTATAATTTATATAGTAATTCATTAATTTGTTTCATTTAACATTAACCTCATCTAATGAGACACAACATTTTCAGCACAAGTCTATTCTTCAGAGATCATCCTCAATGTTCAGATGTACCTGTATTTATTTTTTATGTAATTGAGTACCATAAAGGTGTCAGAAAACTTAACCTGGTGCTATAAAATCTGCTGAATCTAACGCTATTGCTGTGTTGTTGATCTAACGTAAACACACCAATCCTATGTAAAAATAAAAAATAAAAAGAACTTTCAAATAAAACCTTTTTATTTGCATGTTGTTGCTTTTTTAATGTATATATTAACTAATATTTGTTTTTTCTGTGGGTTATGGATAAAATATGGTGATTCTATTAGTTTAATTAAATTTATTGAACACTTGAAAATCACCAAGCGACCCCCTGTCATTGTCCCCCGACCCCCACTTTGGGAACCACTGATCTAATGAACCATGAATGAAAAGAGGGTTTCCAAAGATCATAACAAAAAATAAACAAAATCTAAAAAAGCTTTATTTGTTTTAATTAATTTTTTAAATGTATCTCATTTAATTTCAGAGCCAAGAACGGACTATTATATATTTTTTATACTGTGATAACAGCAAGAATACATACCAAAATCCCTAATTAATTGTAATTAAGCATATTCATACACCGTAAAAAAAATAATGGGCAAAACCAACAGTTTGAAAAATTTAATTTAATTAATGCAAAACAAATAAATGAACATCATGTTGGATTTGTCCATATTTGACTGAACATTGAACATTAAAACAACCTAGTGTGCTTTTATACAGTAATAAACAATGTGTTAGCCATTTGTAAACAATATTTTAGATCATATTCTAATCTGCCTTTTTCTTTTCATAATTGCTTAATTTATTTGAATAATTGACTAATACTCAATTATTTGAGGGGGGGAGTGCAAGTCGGAGCACTCGCTCTGTTCCCCAGGGCTCTGAAACCAAAAACAACGATTACAATTGGCCTAAGATTAGCAATGAAAACTTGGGACACTGCAACCTGCAGAACCTGGGATTTAAAAAAAAAAGTTATTTATTAAAATAGATTTATTAAAATAGTTTTTTTTTATTTAATAAGAGAAAGAATATATGCCAAAAATAAAAAGGAATAGTAATTTTGCAGGTTCATGCATTGTAAAAAATGAAGACCCAACAGTTGATTTGAAAAATGTAATTGAAATAATAACAAATAAATTAATTAAGCCCTTGTTGAATTTGGCCATATTTTAATGAACATTAGGTTAAAACAACCCAGTGTGCTTTGCTTTTATCCAGTAATAAACTACAACATTTTAGTATCAGCTATTAATCAGACATCTTTAACTCATGTATACTGACCTCTATATAATGCAAAGTCTTTCAATTAGACTTAAAATATATCACAAATTAAATCACTGACAAAAAACAAACAAACATTTTAACCATTTTCAATCAATGCATACTCATATAAACAAGCAGCAGAAAGTGACATGAGCGAGTGTTGGAGATCCTGAAGTGATAAACTAAAACTATATAGACTAAAGATGAATCATCTGAATGCTTGCCTCGAGTACACCATCAAACAATGGAAAAAAGCTGCAACAATGCTGCACAGTGATCTGCAATTGAGCAAACACAATCAGAAGTGTCTGTTCTGCCTCCATCAGCATAACCACAGCTATAGATATCCTGTCGAGTTTCGTGCTGTTTCCTGTGCTTGAGGCCTGCCTGCCTTTTCACTCTCTCCTTCTGTCGTGGAGCATTAAGAGGTGGAAGGAGAAAACTGACAGAAACCCTGGTGTAATTCATCATACAGGAAGTGTGTAAATTGTGGCTCAGGCATTTCGGAATACTTGAAGTTTACAAGTACAAGCCAAAAAAAGAAAAAAAAAAAGAAAAAGAATGGAAACAGGGCAGTAGGTTTGTAGGTAAGAGCAAAAGGGAACGTATGTTTGTTTGTTTAGTCACTAGACTCGCTTGCTTGTTTAGGGAGAATGAAAGCTTAGTAGTGACACCTGGTGGTTCATCTTTATACTTCAGAACAACAGGTGACAGGTTTTTGGCATTCTGCAAAGTATATCCTTATATGTTTAACAGAAGAAGGAACTCATAAAAGGTTTCAAACAAGTAAAGAGTGAGTAAATGATGACAGAATTGAAATTTTTGTGTGAACTACTACCCTAAAATATTTGATGAGATTTATGTTTAAACGATGAAAATAAACATTTTGAAAACAAGGCAGTTTTGCTCACAACAAAATCTATTTTGATGGTCTAAAATTTACATTTTGGCAGCTTCAAACAAATCAACAGCAAATAAGGCACTGTAGTTGCTCATTTTTAGGAAGTAAAAAAACTCCATTGCAATTGACAAATGCTTGCCGTGAAGAGTGTGTAATGGAATTCTTATTTTGGGTGAACTATTGATTTAAAATGTAATTTACCATCAAATTACCATTCTTTCTTGAACAAATTTCAGTGGTTCTTGTCATCCAGTCAAAAAATAACATTTACCATAAGTGATGTGCTCTATGCATGTGTGTTGAAGTATCATGTGAAATAAAAACCTAAATCTGGTCATCATATAATTTTATTTGATCCAGGTAGATTTATTTGGATTAGGGATGCAACGATTAAATATTTTGGTTGTACGATTATAGTTTTAGTAGGAATAAATCACATGGTTTCATGGTTATCACGATAATTATGCATTTGTTCATTTCTAAACACTACTAGTTTAGAAAATCACACGAAAACGTCTTATTATTTAAAGTGTTATTTATTGCTGCTCAGTAACCAACCAAATAATACAGCACAAAATAATAATAAAAAACAAACAATAGTCCTCTCTTTGGACTTAAAAATAAGTGAAAGAAGTTTGTGGCATTTAAATATAAGTTATAAATTTACACTGAAAATAAATTTGGAACAATAAATAAATATAAGAATAAATAAAAATTGTGTTTTTGTCTAATGTCTAATAAATCTAATCTACATATTAGCAAGTATTAGCTAAGTGTTTCCCTTTTAAAGAGAACAAAATGTAGTGAAAGGCTGCTCAACCTGTCTGAAAGGCACTTTTGATCAACTATTTTACAAAACTGCCTGGTATTTTCATTTTGTATATATTTTTTCTCTCTGGAGTAGAAAATGCGTTTATTCCATACAAAGTATAAAGCTGACTGGTCAGTTCTTGTCACGTGACTCGTGGTATGCTCACTGAATTTTCAACTAGGTGTGTCTGGAAAGCACAGAAACGCTTCTGTTCCATGCAGAAACGGGGTGTTGAGAAGGCTGTACGATTACTTTACCTTGAAGAAATAAAGCAAGGTTAATAGTAAAATTGATTAATCATTGCATTCCTAATATGGATTAACCTGACATCACCTACCTTTTTAAACTTAGGTGAAATGGATAAACGTGTCTGTTAAATTAATAAATGTACATATAAAAGGAATCGGACTGTGTTTTGAACAGGGTTTCTGCTGGTTTCACCAAGTGAAATTTAAGACATTAAGACCATTGTGAATTAAATTTCAAAAAATACATATTTTTTAAGTCTAATTCTTTTGAAAGTTATTTTTATCCACATATTTCTAATAATGTGTTAAAACAAGCAAACTCTAGTTAAATACAGTTGAAGTTGAATTAATAGACCCCCTAAATTATTAGCCACCCTGCTTATTTTTTCCCTATTTTCTGTTTAACTGGGAGAAGTTTTTTTTTTTTTTTTTACACATTTTTAAACAAGATAGTTTTGATAACTCATTTATAATATCTGATTTATTTTATCTCTGCCATGCGTACAGCAAAAAATATTTGACTAGATATTTCATTTAGCTTAAAGTGACATTTAAAGGCTTAACTAGGTTAATTGGGGTAAATAGGCAGATCAGGGAATTAGGCAAGTTATTGTATAATGATGGTTTGTTCTGTAGACTATCGAAAAAAATATAACCTAAAGGGGTTAATACTTGACCTTAAAATGTTTTTAAAAAAATTTTAAAAACTGCTTTTTCTAGCCGAAATAAAACAAATAAGACTTTCTCCAGAAGAAAAAATATTATCAGTCTTAGACTGTACATACTGTACATATTTTTTCAGCAAAACATTTCTGAAAAAAAAAAATGCTTTAAAAAAAGTTTTTAAAAACTATAATAAACAACATTTATGCACAACAAACTGTTCAGGTCAGTGTCCTTACCATTTAGCTATCAATACATGAAGCAAGTATCAACGTTTAAACATTTTTGTACGGATATAAGGAAGATAATTAAACCTTATTGGTAAATAGCGTTAATAAACAAATGTAAATAAATAATTTTTGATTTTACTGAGATGGACTGTTGACTGGATGTGTGTTGGCCTGATTTGATAGATTTACACAGACCTTTACACAGGAAAATTAAGACCTGTTTAAGACGTATTAAATTTTTAAAAAATAAAATACTTAAGTCCTACAACAGAAAATTTCAGTCAATTTAAGACTTGTTTATGCCTTTTTGAAATTAGGGTGACATTTTAATACTTTCAGACCCTGGGGACACCCTGACTATAGATGAAGTGTTATGGGTTTGGATTAAAGCTGCATAAGTCATTATAAATAGAGAATCAGAAGTTTTGGCACAAAGCAAAATATCAACACTCTTCCACAATACTGAATAGACAACTAAAAGTTCGAACAAAATATTCATTACTTATTTGACTTTTTGTAATAAAGAAAAGAAAATGACACTGTGGTTGAAAAGATCTTCATTTGACAACCGCTCTCTCAGTTTCAGTGGCAGACACTTATTTACATTTTTCACTGTGAGTTAATTTTTCAAAAGTTGACAGGCATAGCCAAATGCTGTAAGTTAGAAACAAGTTAACATCATGCATTTTTGTATCAAAATTCAGAAAAATGTATTGTGCAGCACTAACTTAAAATTCTTGAAGACAATTGAGCGCCTCTGCATGGAGACTGACCTGTGATCAGTGAGCACACACACTGCAGAGGGATGACTGGAGCAGTACGACAAATACAGTGTTCGGATCTGACACATCATGTTCAGGTAACAGCCACCAATGCGCTGCTGGCCCTCTGGCACCCTGGCAATAGAAAAATAAATCAATCAGCTTTGATACTTCTCTCTTCATATCAGCTGTTCTGAATGAAAGTCATATTTAGAATTTGTATTCAGTGCTGTGAAAAACACAAGTTAGCAGCAGTATTCGCTTGTAATGTAATGTAATGTGTATTTATATAGCCCATTTATTGTGTATGGCCATACACCCAAAGTGCTTCAAAATCATGGGGGGGGGGGGTCTCTCCGCACCACCAGTTAGATTGACAGACCGTTGCTTGATTCATTTCTAAATGAATGAGCTGTCTGAATGAATCCAATGATGCCACCTAGTGGGTTTTCTGCTTAAATACAGTTTTAAATCATAATGAAAGAGTTTTATTTTCAAGACATTAAAGGGGACCTATTATCCTTTTATAAGTGGTTTAAACACAGTTGTGTGGCAACGGTCTGTCAATATAACCAGCTTTTGATGGTAAAAAATTATTAATTTTATAATTCTATAAAAATCTAAAATATATCTATCTATCTATCTATCTATCTATCTATCTATCTATCTATCTATCTATCTATCTATCTATCTATCTATCTATCTATCTATCACTCGTTATGTATATATATATATATATATATTGTGTATATATATAGGTTGTGATTTATTTATTTATTTATTATTGCAATATTTTGGATAAAATTTAAAAATAAAAAAGTAAATAATAAAAGTATTTTTAGAAATGGATAAAAATACTAATTTTCAAAACGTGGTGTACTCAATTACGCTAAGCACTGTATGGTTCGCCCCTGCCTAGATTGTGTGTGCTGAAATGTGTGGGGGTCTGCAGTTCTGCTCTTGTATATATCACTTTGAGTTACCAATGTATTATTGTAGCGGAAATGTTTTTGAGTACTGTTTTAGCAACACTTTGAAAATTAAAAAAGTAGAAAAAAATGCATCAACAAAAATGACTGAATGAATAAATGAATAAATAAAAGTCTCTTAGTGAAAAAAGGTTCCAAATTCCTGTGCTTATAACAATTTACACATACAGAAAGCCACCATGAGATGGCACTGGAACATTGAAAAGAACGATTACCAGTAACAGATTTATCAAGAAATATTTTCAGTTGCTTCATAAACACAAGAAAACCAAGTTCTTACTTGGAGCACTCCTCTAAAGTCAGACACAGGCCCTGCTGGAAAGAGAGGATGTCCTCTAAATTCCCATTCAGACTGGAGCAGTCCACACTGGAGAGCCTACAGAGGAAACCCACAGTAGAGTCATCTTGCGCATGAATTTTCATTGACTGACACAGCTCCTCAAAACGTCAATCGGCTTTCATATCAAAGAGAGTAATGTGTTTGTTTTTTCATCTTACTTGTCGCTGGCCTGTAGAGGGCGCAGGTAGCCGCCCAGCACGTTCTGCAGCTCTTTGACAAACTCTCGCTCATGTTCTAAGATGTCTTGCACCACCTGAGAAACAGAGCATACACGCAAGAACTTAGAATGTGCTTATACGCATTTCTTGTTAATTCATGTGTTTTAATAGGAACTCACCACACTGTAATAATTTTTAGTCAGCTGAGGAACATCAAATCCTTTTATTGCTTTGGGGGATATTGGTTTATCTAGTCAAAAAGGAACAGAACATTTTTTGTTCAAAACGGATGACATTTAACTCATTGTTGTGCAAGAAGCATGTGGTTCTATAATTGAACCACTACAGCACGACTGCAGTAACTTCAAACTATGTTTGATTTGATAGCTTGCACAGAGTCACACAACAAAACGCACAATGAAAGATTCACAAATCTGTCTAGCTTAATTCCTGCGAGGGTACAAAAATGAGGCATGCATGATTTATAGAGCTGCAGGGGGTAAGGGTGGTAGTGGTTTATTCTGTAAAAATCTTCTGTAATAATAAAAAAGTGTATTACATATATTTATATTTGTTTAAAATAACTTTTGCTTAGAATTTTTTAAGTTTTTTATCAATTGAGTGAATAGCAAGAGCTTCGACAGGTCTGCTGTCATATAAAAAGCTACACGATCTTAAAAACACAGAGGTGAGATGTTTGGTAGCACAAAATAGAAATACATACAGATAAAATTAAAAGCAACAAATTAAAATGAACACAGCGATGCACAGCAAGTGATTACACACACACACGCAGATGAACTTAACCTAAGATTTTTTTTTTTTCATTTTAATTTAGGAGTGTCTGACTATGGAACATTTCCCATGATTATTTTGGTAATAAATGAAATTAACCGAAACAATCAAATTAAATGAACATTTAGAAATAAACTATTATTGACATGATAACTTGACTATTATAGGAATACTTATTGACTTTAGGAAATAGGCTGCATTTTTTTACTAAATGGTGTACAAAATAACAAGTAAACAGTAAAAAACAAAAAATATATTATCAAAAAGGGATGGGAGATATAGATAAGAATAATTTATTATATTCATTATTTTTCCATAAAATTTTCAGGCAGTTTCACTCAGATTTGCTGCTACACATATCAATCTAAATTGAGAGGACAATAACATGAATTAATGTGTATGTTGTTAACATGGATGTATATACGTATACATTTGAACAAACGCACACACACACACACGCACGCACGCACGCACGCAAACACTTGAAGTCAGCATTATTAGCCTCCCTTTGACTTTTTTTTCTTTAAATATTTCCCAAAATTATGTTTAACAGAGCAAGGCAATTTTCATAGTATGTCTGATAATTTTTTTCTAACACTCTTTTAAGGTTAAAATTATTAGCCTCTTTAAGCTATTTTTTTCTCCGATAGTCTACAGAACAAACGATCCTTATACAATAACTTGCCTAAATACCCTGACCTGCCTAGTTAACCTAATTAACCTAGTTAAGCTTATAAATGTCACTTTAAGCTGTATAGTAACGTCTTGAAAAATATATAGTCAAATATTATTTACTCACATCATGGCAAAGATAAAATAAATCAGTTGTTGGAAATGAGTTATTAAAACTATTATGTTTAGATGATTATGTGGGTCTCGTCTATCAAATCTGATCTTTATTTTGTATTTTATATTGGATTCAAGTCAGGTGAGGGGATATATTTTGTGTTCGACAGTAAAAAAAATCTCAATTTAAGGTTTGAAACTTGAAACTTTGAAACTAACTTAAGGGGGGAAAATATTGATTTTTTTGTTGAACTATACCTTTGAAACTGGGGCATAGGGCTTCATGATCACTTTTCCAAGAGGTTTCCAACAATGCATGTAAGAGAATCTCTTGGTTTGTCCACTCACCACATGGCTTGACCTCTCGGACATAATTGCTGGGGAACCAGCCGGTTTTGCTATTAAGTGTTCCCTCCCACCAACCACCTTCCTCCTGGCGTGTGACGTGGATCAGCTCGCCCTTGCTGAAAGACAGCTCGTCCTCATTGTTCTGCTTGAAATTGAAGCGTGCCTTTACCACCAGCTGCCCACCGCCTCCATTTTCCGACATTTCCTGGACACAGAAGCAACAGGTGAAACCCTTCTGTTTGCAGTCAACTGCTGTTCATTTGTTCAAGGAGCCGTAATGCTTTACGAGCTATACATTCCCAAGCCTACTGTGAACTTAATTACACTGTGATCACAAACATTATTTTAATCATTCATCTTAAAATTGCCACACACACACACACACACACACACACACACACACACACACACACACACACACACACACACACACACACACACACACACACACACACACACACACACACACACACACACACACACACACACACACACACAGAAATAAATCATGAATGTAAATATTAAAATTAATGATTTGATGTGAATTTGATAGGAAGCATATTGGGAAGATGAGTGAATAATTATTTATTTGATTTCTGCTTTCAAATTTTGTTATTACAAAGTAATAGAGCTGTGGTGACCCAAGATGAATAAAGGGACTAAGCCAAAGGAAAATGAATGAATGAATGAATGAATGAATGAATGAATGAATGAATGAATGAATGAATAATAAACGAAATCAACACCGCATCTAATAACTTTAGGTTCTGTGAAAATTAATGCACAAATAGAATTGAGGAAAAAAATGAGTTGACAAATGTTAAATGAACTTTTATTAGAATTATAATCAATGTAATATAAAGCAGTTATAATATGTTTAATGGTCTGCTATTTTTATAAATGGTCAAATAAAACTATCTAACAATTTACTGCAAGACTGGCTTTCATTTACTTTAACAGGGCTCAACAATAAGGACTGCTCCATGACCTGAGGCCACCGTGAGAGATGCTCAGAACAGTAGACGGGATTGGGTCAGTGCTGCCTTGTCACTAAAGTTAGATTTTTAATCAATGCGACTATTTGTCAATTGCGTGCAAATACAGTCTTAGAACTGAGAAACAGTTTGTGCTTTTAAACCTTTAAATGCTACCTTCTCTGTGATGTCGTAAACCCAAAATTGCTTTTTGGTTTCTCTTATCTGATTGGATGTTGTGAGCACGATATTTTTTTCTATAACCTGGTAACAACCAGGGGTGCGCTTTCCAAACAATGACATAACTTGCGGCTGAACTATCATAGAGTGATGCATCATTTGGAAATAGACAATGTAGTGACGTGTTTCCCAAAATCTGTAGTTTCTCTGTCGCAGATCCATCGCTTGAACTAAGTTAGTTATAATGTAAAATGGCTATAATGATGCTCTAAACCGGGTGGAGTAACAACTTCTGTAGAGCACAACCCCATTATTTCTTTGTGCAAATTATTTGGTTTTATAAGCACAGGCATTTAAAAAAATGCAGTATTAGTTTTTGGTTTGGTTTTGGTAAAAGCATGCACTCGTTTTCCATATTAATTGAAATATATGTAAATGGCACATATAGGGCCTTTGTTTTCTTAACAAATATTATTGAGAACATTACATAGTCTATTCTAAAACATAAAATCACTTACAAAAGCTAACACGCTTTCTATATCATATAAAAAAAATCATAAAAATAAATTAATTAATTAATAAATGAGGCTCTTTATCAAGAAATGAAATGTAATATTTATTATTTATCAGGAAATTTAAAAATCCTATTTTAATAATAATAACAATGACGATAATAATGATGACTATTATTAAGTAGGATATTGTTTTTTTTTTTTTTGAAGAGTCTAATTTTACAATTTGACACATGCAAACCACTGCAAAAATGTTCAAACCAACAGGCCCATGTCATATCCAGTGCAGATATTTATTAAATGACAAACTATAAATAAAAAAAAACATTAACATTTGCTATGTTTTATGTTTTCACACGCTTTGGAGACATAACATAAATTCTACTTTTAAATAATATGTCACCTATAGCTTTTGTCATGAGCTACGGCTGCGTTCAAAATGACATCAATGTTTTCAAAGTGCACAGCGCAGTTGTAAACATGAAGATCGCTAAAACTGAACTGTGAAAATACTTTGAAAGCAAATTACACCTAAGAGTGATGACTTTAATGCTTTTTTTTTAAACAATTATAAGTTTAAATGTTAAAATGTTTTAAAGGAATAGAGCAAAGGGGGTATAACTGGGAATAGAACATAGCTAGGAACTATGTTTCTAACTATAGCTCCAGAGGTGTAGTCGCAAACATACGCGTTTGCGACGCAGTTTGCGAATGTTCGTTGAAACAATGGATTTGGGAAATCCATTTGGGAAATGTTATGATGCAACTTGCAACTTTAGTTTGCTAACGATGGTTTTCGGAAATGCACACCAGTACAGCAAAGATACGGCAACATAGCAGTAACATCAAATTATGAGGATAAAAGAAAATGTCTGTTTCTAATGTCCTGGAAGCAGACATTAACATGGGTACAACCTGACAAAAAAATTTGCCGTTAGTTTGGCAAATCACCTTTTGTTAAATAATTTAAAACTGCAATACAATACCTGCACATTTTTCAAACTGCATATTATTGATTTATTACCTTTTTAAAGTTATAAAATTTTAGATTCACAGACGTTATTTTTTCGACACATTAGTTAAAATATGTGACTAAGAAATAGCTATCAACTTTTTTTTTTTTTTTTTTTTTTTTTGGTGGGGCCGGTGAAAATTTTGGCAGGGCAAGTAAAAATCTCAACCACTGGTCGGATCGGGCTAGTAGAAAAAATCCTTAGCATTGAATGAGTGTTTAATATTGAATAAAATACATTTTCTTAAAGGGATAGTTCACCAAAAATGATATCATTAACAAAATATTTTTTGTTTGGTAAATTTGATGCAGAAATAATTTGATGCAGATTTTGAACGTTTTATTTTATAAAAATAAAACAAATTAGGATAAAAATATATATTTTTAAATTAAGTAAATCTATCGAACCCAACTGAAGTCCTAAACTAATGATCTCATACAATAAGTTTATTTTAATGAAGGCTATTCAGGCATACTTTTCAATAATGATAAAGACTTTTTTGTGTTGTTGCTATAAAAGACCAACTGTTAACAGCATTTACAGCACCTTCCTGATTCTTACCACAGCTTTTGACTGTCTCCGCAAGGACCTGCTGGACTTTAAGGTGGGAGCAGCTTGTGAAGGAGTTGATAGGCTAGACGTAGAGGTGTTGGACTGTGGACATGATCTGCTACAATCTGGACACAAAAGAAAAAACATATACATTTAAAAACAGCACCAGTCTATGTCCGTTTCATTTCTTACAGAGCAGTACATCTGTGGGTGGACAGATGCAGGTGTACAGATGCAGATTTAAAGAAATTCACAGTTCAATAATTCGGCAGCTTTGTGCTCTACAATTCAGCTCAGCATAACCTCTTACACATAAAACATGTGCGAAAGACAAGCTCAAAAATAAGCCGCCGCTTTAGGAAGTGTAACTATCTTCAAATAGTGCGACACTCACATTACTTTAAGTCATGTGATTACCTAAATGTGACTTCACGTATTATGGTAAATGATTTATTGTAAAATCATGATTCATTTCATGAGGTGTCCATATTTGCGAGTGCCTTATGAACTAACATTGCTTTTATAAAACATACGGTACGGTTTAAAAACTTGGTATGGGAAGTTTTTCTTTGCTTTACTTTATAAAAAAAATAAAATGAAAATTAAAGATAAATTAATTTGATTAAGTGTGACAGCAAAAACATTTAAATCTTACAAAATATTTCTCAGAGCATCTTTCTATTTATCAAAAAATAAAATTCATATATTCATATATATATATATATATATATATATATATATATATATATATATATATATATATACATATTTTTTTTCTGTCTGTTTCCACAATAAAATATTAAGCAACACAATTATTTTTAATATTGATAATAATGAATGTTTCATAAAGTCACCATAAAATTTATGATTGTATATGTATACACTACCTGACAAAAGTCTTGTCGCCTATCCAAGTTTTAGGAACAACAAATAATAACTTGACTTCTAGTTGATCATTTGATATCAGAAGTGGCTTATAAGAAAGGCAAAGGCCTCTAGATTATGCTTATTTTAACAAAATAAAATATGATCATAGCTCGATTTTTAATTATTTAATAAAGACATTAAGGTCTGACTTTGCTTAGAAAAAAATCTATATAAGGTACAATTTAGAATATAAAGTCATGGTGCAGTAGAAAAATAATATTGTGAAAGACTTTATGAGCATGGTCGACTACATCCATACATCTCTGCAAGGACTCAAATAACTTGCTATTAATAAACTATTAATAAAGTCATCTGGGCTGGCAAAGAAAGTGTTCTTGCAGAAGAAAGCGACTCCCAGAGCTCATCAAGATTCTTTGGATTCATCCTCGATGCCTCCTCCTTCATCTTACCCCAGTCATGCTCAATAACGTTCATGTTTGTTGACTGGGCTGGCCAATCCTAGAGCACTCTGACCTTCTTTGACTACAGGAACTTTGATGTGGAGGCTGAAGTATGAAAAGGAGTGCTCTCCTGCTGAAGAATTTGCCCTCACCTGTGGTTTGTAATGTAATGGGCAACACAAATGCCTTGATACCTCATGTTGTTGATGTGGCCATTCACTCTGCAGATCTCTCGCACACACCCATACTGAATGTAACCCTAAACCAAGATGTTGTCTTTGGCAAACTTTCAGCTTTCTTTGGCCCATGCAGGTTTTGTCAGGTAGTGTATAGTATATAGTAGTGCTTGTGATAAACAATGTTTCTGTGCACTTCATTATTTATATATTAATATATGTTTGTAAAAAATCATTTGCCATGTGGTAAAAAAATAATTTGCCCCCTTTTTTAGTCAGATATACATCATCATATGGGAATTCAAGTCTTGATCTCCATTTAATGGCAACTTTAAGCACTTAATCAGAATATATGAATGATTACTAAATGAGTTACACTGGAGATTGGAGAAATGTTAAAAACAACTTTTAAAATATGATAAACTATAAAAAGAGTTATTCTTCACAATACTACCCTTCATACTGGATGTCATCAAACAAATGCAGCTTTGATGAGTATAAGAGGCTCCTAAATAGTATTGTATGTGAACATAAATCCAGCACAAGATCAACACATAATTGTGCAAAACTCAGTGCAGCTGACAGAAATGTTTGCATTTTCCAGCAGCTTGAATCATTTGACATCAAAGTCAAAAGAATCTTAAAAATACTTCATAACTCGATTTTGCAAATATGCCAACCCGAAGCCAAAATGTAGTACAGTCACGTCAGTTCATTCGGTTATCTTTAAACAGCTCTCATTCACTCAACCATTCATAATTCTGTCATCTGTGCCAATAGTCCACAGCTCAATACACTTGCATATGGGCCACAACAAACAACTGCAGAAAGCCAGACACATAATTGCCAGCGTATGTTGATGACAAAGTGTCAAAGAGAAATCACTTTTTGAGAAAAAAACCCACATATGACAAGATTCCAGCGACAAGCAAATTTCAGTTCACACCAGACATGACACGACAGAAACATAAAATGACCACAGATATTTAGAAGCACAGAATAGTGCACCACACTTGAAAGGAAATAAACTGTTTGAATAAATAAACAAATATTGAACCCCATTGTCTTTAATAAAACACGCTGGCTGTTGCATGATGAGTCAAAATTACAACGTTCATGTTTAAATTGTTTGCTATTTATTTTATTTTAAAGATCTGAGGTGAACTATCTGCTGCCCTTTTCAGTATGACAATAAATGTCATGCAAAAATAGTATTCGAACGCACACAGGTAACATTTAAAGGGCACCTATGATGAAAATCAACTTTTGTAAGCTGTTTGGACAGAACTGTATGTAGGTATAGTGTGTCCACTGTCACATTGGAGTGATAGAAACCCAACAAGTCTCTTAAAGTTTACTGATGTTAAAATAGGACCCAAATCCCAGTGATTTTGAGGCCCACCGCAACAGGGATGTAGGAGCGCAGCTTTCCCTACCCTTTGAATTGATTGAAAGACACCATATGTCTATAATAACATGTATGCACATGTCCACAGAACACGTTTTCGCAAATACACTAGAATAAAAATGTATGTTAAATCTGTGATTTTTGAAACATTTTTAAAGCAGAGCATGGTTGTAATAAAGAGAGTAAAAATTTTGTATAATTCGTTAGCGCTATGATCACCACGGCCGCATGGTGTCAGTAAACTCGCATGTGTGTGCGTACTGCAAATGTCATTTGTGTAAAACTCATCATTTCAGAAAGGCTTGAAGAAACTCCACCACAAATACATAAAATAAACTTGCATGGTACTTTGACAAATGAGCTGTATTTCAGCTTCATCCGAGTCTATCTCTGTCACTGTGCTGTTTATCTGACATAACGCATGATGAAAAGCAGACATGTGCATGTACATGTGAGCGGTGGGACGGGGGAAGCAGCTCATTTGCATTTAAAGTCACAGGCTACAAAAGCAGCTAAAATGTATTCAGACATCAAAACGAGCATATTCTGGAGGCTATAATAAATAATCTGATGGGTACTTTAAGCTGAAACTTTACGGACATATTGTGGAGACACCAAAGGTTTATCTTACATCTTGTAAAAAAGGTAAAATAGGTGTCTTTTAACACTGAATACACATAATGAGCATCTGAGATGATTGTGGTCATAGTAATTAATGATTCTGTTCTGCCACAACATCACAGAAATATAAACAGTTGCTAAAAGAGACTTTGCACACCGGTTAGGACTCATTTTAACATGTAAAAGAATCACAGGTTGTTAGATCCATCCTAAGCAATCCTAATTCTACAAATGATTTGTTCACCTTCAAATGGTTCCAAATTTTTATGATTTCTTCCTTCGGTTAAACACAAAAGATTATAAAGAATAGTGAAAACCGGACGACCACTGACATCAACAGCAGAATAAAAACACTATGAAAGTCAATGGCTACCCATTTCCTACACTTAAACAAATCTTCCAGACAAAAACTGGTTTGGAAAAGTAGGTAAATGACAGAATTTTTATTTTTGGGTAAACTATCCCTTTCTCTCACAGCAATTCTTAAAACCCACACTGAATACTTCCCATCAAAACGTACAGACATCGATTAAAAAGTATTAGGTTGCGGTGTGCAATGCATCATTCTCAAACAGATGAAAATTAGGGGGAAGAAGGCACACGGTACTCAGTGACAGAAGCAAACATTCAGGTGGCCTGTTTGTTGCTCTCCGGGTCCTGACAGATCTCCGGCTCCACAGGGGCCTCTGGGTCTCTTCACTGACTCACACGTCGCTGTTCTCGCCCTCTCCATCTACACAATAAAAGCTCAGCACGTCTGCTGGATTTCACGGCAGGCTCCTTCCGAACACCCGCGGCGTACAAACAGCGCGTGTGAACCTGCTCCAAGCGCTCCACAGCCAACACAACAGAGAATCCAGATAAAGCCAGACGAGAAACGTCTTCTCTGTGCCTTGAGCACACTCCAGAGTGAAGCCCTCACTGTTTCATCATAGAGACCGTTTTAACACAAATCCAGTCAAATCGATCTGCCCTCATTAGTGAGTCATTCTTAAGAACCAACACATCTCTTTAATCTTTCTTTAATATAGAGTTTGCCAAGCTATTTGCAAACATTCAAAGTTGGGTCATGGGTAAACAGGATTACATATTAACAGTCTAATAATAAATAAGAGCAGAGTGCTGTTTGGAATGATTAACAATTCCCTGGCATGGTGATTTACTCAAAAAGGAAAACTCTTGACCATTGTACTGACATGAATATTGATCCAACCACAATGAACTCTTCATTTATTTCTAAAAGGTCATTTTTGAAAATGATCCATTCTTTTACATATAATGATTGTGACTTGAGGCAGTCATGCAATAGATACAAGAGAACCACTTGCATTTGGTCTCCTTTGCATGGTTGAAGCATTTTAGTAGTTATGTAATTAAAATTTTCATATTCATTCATTCATTTTCTTGTCGGCTTAAGGCTGATTTATACATCTGCGTCAAACGCCGGCGTATGCTACGGCGCTGACGCATAGCCCTTCGCCGTGGCCGTCGGCATCGCTGACGTGCACCTCTCAAAAATTGTAACTACACATCACAACGACGCGTAGCGCAAGCTCTGTGATTGGTCGGCTTGGTAGCGCTGACGAGTCTGG